CCCCCCCCCCCCCCCCCCCTCTAATAAATGACCGGTCCCTTAACTGCCGTTTAATTGCGCTTGATCTAAAAATCTAACAATAATTCAAAAAATTAAAATAATTAAATAATTTATAAAGGCAGACACAAAGGCACCAAAATATGCTCTTTACTAAGTCGTGCGAGGACGAGTAGAACCAAAACATTCATCGCCGCAGGTTTCAGTTTTTCATCTTTCCTAAACCAATCAATAGCCGGTATAAAAGATTTCTCGACTGAAAAAAAAAATATTAGACAACATGGAGGTTGGTCGAGTGCTCCGACATTCCTTGCTTATATAGTTTAGAGTAACTCAGTCGACGGCTACTCTACTTCTGGTGAAATGCATTGGACTAACTACATTAACCGGCATTCGAGACGATTGGAAATCCTTCGGCGAACATGGCATTCGTCGTTTCTTGCTCAAACACAACAGTTGTAACTTGCCGATGGCGCGCATTACCGTACTTCAAGTTTTATCCAGGACCAGCATGTATTATAATATTCAAACGCCACCTCGCGATCGACATTCAACTCAGCAAGTGTACTCATTATTTGAAGAGGGCTATTCATTCTCAACCAGGTCACAAGTTTAAATAACTCAACTAGTAGGACAGTTCGTCACCTTTCCCAGATTCTTTGCCACCAGCGAACTTGCTGGAAGAAAATATTCATTTCGGAGAGCTCAATATGAACAGCTTAAGAAAAAAACTTTATGAAGTTAATATTCTCTTAGTACTAATAATACCGATATTCATTTCCTCGGCATTACCGAAACGAAATTAGATGACACTGTGTTTAATGGCTCATTAAAAATTGATGGCTATCAATTCTTCAGAAAGGACAGGAACGGTCATGGAGGAGGAGCATGCAGGGTTTTATTTCAGAGAGATGTTTGTCTGTAAAGTTAGGGAAGACCTAAATGTTTATGGGTAGAAATATACATGGACCGCAAGCTCGTGTAATGGACATTATGTTACTTGTTGCCTTACTCAAACTATAACTGCTTTCACGAGACCTGTTTGTAAACAATGCGGCCGGAATCGGCCCCCAGTATATATTGATCTAGCTTTTAAAAATGGAGCCGCACGGGTTACATAGACTCAGCGACCGGTCATTATATTTTGAGTGAGTGAAAGGTTGGGTAAATAAAAAGCAAAACAACTCAAGGGATGGGTAACAAAAATTTATTTTCATTTCCAAAGTATGATTCACTCAAATATTGGGGCTAAAAAGCAATGTCAACAGTTACATGTTAACACAATATATAAATCAATCAGAGTCATTTCCCGATTTGTCAGGAGGCAAATGGTCTTTCAAAAAAAAGTACAAATATAGACAACATGAAACTTTAGACTGCAGAAAATTGCACGCAGTTATCCAACTTATGTCACAGAAGTGGTGAAGGACATTTATATAATAACGACAAGAATTCAAGCGCTTTCATTGGTCGAAAGCCATGATCTATTACAGGACAGAATTACGACATTGACGGATTTACGCCACAAAACTTTATCCAATACCATTGCCTTAATTGTATAGATCATGTGCGCTTGAAATTTGTAAAATTTTGACTTTAAGTTTCCAAATTAATGTTTGGGTGAATAAAAAGTAAACTATTTACATGCTTAATTTGGGCTTTTCCTCTTTATCCCCGGGCCGACGGCGCGTAGCGCCGTGCGAGGGTACTAATTCCCCCGGCTATTTACTCCCGGGGAAACGAAAGCATTAGCGAAGTCTAAAGTTCATCAAATATAGCGGGCGTGGGTCACCAACCGTGGGTGGTCATTCTCACTGATCTCAAAAATATGTCATGAATAGCGAACACTGTGATTGGTCCAATTTAAAGTTTGCATTATAACGACTGCATGACGAGAGCGAAATAACAAACATTTCTTAATTTGATGATTGATAAATTTCTTGCAAATATATTTCATTTTTGCTCGAATTTTTGGAAGGTTTTGTAAGTTTCAAGAAAGAAATGGCGAAAGAATCGGCTAAAAGAAGGGAGCCGACGTTAACGAAGGTAAGTTTGTTTTAAATATTGGTTTTATAATTGCTTTAAAACCCGACGGCCTTTGCGTATATGAAACAACTAAACAAGACAGCATATCGGGCCCCATTTCAGTGTATCTTTAATATTGATTCCCTTTTTTATTATATTGAATTTTTTTAAATGAAAAAGAAAGCAAAGTTATTTGCATGCGAGAATTTGAAATCATTTTATTGCAAACTCAAAGTTTATCGATAAAGCCATTTAATTAATGAATATAATGCACCTATCATTGTTTTCCCCCTGGGGGGAGGGGGTGCGGGCGACCCAGGGGACTTTGACCACACTATGAAGCACCAGGGAAGGGAATTTGACCTATGCATCAACTCCCAGAGTCGGGAAATTTTGACATCCGCCATCTTGAAAGTTTGCGCGGTTTTGACATTAAAAGGCCTGGTAACAAGTATGGCGGAGAAGCACGATCAAGTTTCATCGAAAAAGGTATTTTATACACAATGTCTCAATTTTTACCAAGTTTAAACCAGTATAGACTGTATGTTCGCATTGGAAAACATATGTGTGTCTTGTTTTCTTAGGAATATAGTGGGGAATTTTGACAGCCATTCCTTGCCCAACAGTGGGGATTTTGACGACAAAATTTTAAAAATGTCAAAATTCCCCTGGGTTGCCCGCACCCCCCCCCCCCTCAGGGGGAAAACATTGATAGGTGCATAAAATGCAGCCATTTACACATTGTTTATGTTCTGAATAAGCAGAGAAAACCCCGCAACATTTTAATGCGAGTTTGTTTGTTAATATTTGGGTGCTGTCATTGGTTCTTTTTTGACAATTGACGCGCGAATGGGGCGTGTTATGAAAAGGAGCGTTTTACAAAATACCGGGCCTTGCTTGCAGGCCCACTATCAGTTCCCTTGGGCCTGCACGCGGGCTGAATACATGCAGCTAGGGGCCCTATTATATGCAGTGCGCCTATTTTATTATATGCAGAGCCTCCATTGAGCAGATTGGGCTACTCTGTTGAAGTAAACTATTCTATCTATTAACTGTCTATCTATATCCAGAAAGGCCAGAAAGCGGGAAGAGAGAGACACACACACAGGCGAGAGAACAAATGCTAAAATTGATTACCAGTGCAACTCAGATTCGTTATCAACACTGCGCCAGATAGTTTAACAGCAGTCTAGAAATTTATTTAAAGATGCATACTGATTATTGTTTTAAAGAGATCATCGTTTATCATGTTATCTATTATTAAACCGTTGCAAAAAACCTTTCCATTCTTGTGAACAGAGTACTTGTTTCAAATCCAGGTTTTTTTCTGTTTTGGGTCAATCCGGGTTTTTTTTCGTTTTCAAAAGTCAAACGTATCGGCTGCACGAGGTTTACTGTAATTTTACACTGTGGCGCAGTCATGCAACACATTAGACGTGTATATCTTTGTACAACATATTATAAATCGACTGGTATAGTGTAGCTGGACAAAATTAACGTCAAATTGGTATAGTTTATAACGAAACAAAGCTGTGTGTTCGAAGGTATCAAGGTAGGTAATTTTGTGCTTCCTGTTCTTGATCATTTCATGATCTGTTCTTGAACATAACATGTAAATGTTATATTATTGAGGTTCTTGCATTAATTTTACACAACTATAAGCTGAAGTGACCTGTTTATATTTAGGAATTAAAGTTCGACCTGTGTGCATTCGTCGCATTAAATCGTTTTCGCGTTGGTAAGTGTTTAATAATTAGTCTTCGGCGTTTTATAGTTGTGAAGCAAAACAACTGTGCGGCCAACAAAATTTGCTTACACAACAAGTATGTCTACAAATTTCCTTCTCAACCGGTCTCCCCATCGGCGTATTAAATAAACGTAATATATTACTTTGTCGCGCGGTTCATATCTTCAGTTCGGCGCATGCAATGGAGACGAAAATAACACCAATCGATTCAGTGAAACAATATCTCCATATTCCTGAAGTTTTGTCGGGATTTATCATCTATGTCGGGATTTATTGTCAGTTAAGATCAGAAATCCTTCCCTCTCGGTATTTATTAGGCACTTCGGCACCCTCAATCACGATCTTAAATCAAATCAAATATTAAGCCAATCTTAATGAACAATGGTCAATGCTCTAGTTTTCATAGGTAAGAACATAAATTGTAGTCGCCATTTAACGATGTACACTTTCAACATTCTAAATTAGGGCAGAAATAATAGTTATACTAAATTTCTCATCTGTCTGGATCTAGCTGGATCGGAAGATAACAATCATATAGAACTAATTCGTGTCTTGGAGAATTTACATTTTTATATCAGTACGTTTTCTCGTGCTCTTGCACTTGTATTTATATGCTTTGAAATGTTCTGAGATTGAAGTTTTTTATCTGAAAAAACCGTCACGCGAAGGTGGTTTTATATTCTACAAACTGTCGTGCAGTCGGTGAGTCAGTCATGCAAGACATTAGTAAAACACGTTGTAAATCCTGTAATTTATCACGGCCATAGTCCCAGAGATGTTTAATCTTTGTACTATTATACATTACATTGCACAGTGAAGCCGGACAATCTCTTGAAATGTTGTAAAATTTTGAGATTATCGTCAACCACGAAACGTGACCCACAACACGCGATTAATTTTCCTGTTCTATTATTGACATTTGACATACGATATTAGTGTCCGATTTTAAT